CCGCCGCCGCCTTGGCGGCCCCGGCGACCGAAGCGCTAGATGCGGTGCCGCTGCCGCTGCTACTGCTATTGCTACTGCTGCCACTGCTATTGCCACTGCTGCTGGAGGTGCCGCGGGCCGTCAACGGCCGCCACCGCAGCAGCAGCGGACGCGCCGCCGCCGGCGTGCCGTCACTGGCCCCACCAGCCGCCGGCTGTGGCTGTGTCCTCCCCCAAAAAGCCGCCGCCGCCGCAGCTGCCGTACCGCGCGGCCCCAAGCCACCTGCCGTTGGCTGCACTGCGGACTGCTGCATACTCCGCGCGTCCGCGTCGTTGCCGTCGCCGCTGCGGAACAGCAGCGCGCTCAGGCCGCCGTCGCCGCCGCCGCCAACGCCCGGGAAGAGCTTTATAATTCCGGGAAGCAATCCGTCGAGCAGTGCACTAGGTAGGCCGTGAGACGAACAGGTGCATTTGCAGATGTCGGCCCCACCACCGCCGTCCCCGCCCCCGCCGGTTGGCATGGTCACGGATGCGGGTACGACATTGACGTTGACGTTGACTTCATGTATGTATGTATGTACGTAACCACGGCGCGGGTACAGCAGGCGGGTCGTTTCAGGGGGCGTGCAGCAAGGAGGAGGGCGACGCACAGCGGATTGCTACAACTCCTACACCAATGAAGATGGAGCTGGCAATGATACAGAAATCGAGTGAGGAGCAGGTACCCGACCCATCCACACGCCCATGTCGTACTCCAGTGTACGGCAAAGTACGGCAAAGAATTTCTAACGCCTTCCACTGCGACAACACGTTTTTATTTACGTGTTGAAATCGTCGTACTTCTTGTTAACAATAAAAGACACTCCAACAATTCCTCGACAAGGAACCAAGAATGGTTTGGAAAAAAGGAATGAAAACAGCTTATAGACCTTCTTACCGTTCAGGTCGCGGCCCACGTTCACGTTGGGGCCGTCAATTGGTCCTGGCCTGATCGGCCTGGATGGCCCTCCCGCCTTCGCCGGCTTGGGGCCACGCGCCTTCGGGAGGGGCACTAACTGCGGGCTGGCCGCGGCTGCGGGGGGCACGGCAATCGACGTCGGCGTGATGACGTCACCGCCGCCGCTGCCGTTGTCAAAACTTGTTGCGATCCTCGCGTCGCCAATCCTCAAGCTATCAAGAAGTGCCGCCACGGCCTCAGAGGCTGCGGCCACGTCGTTCTTCTCCAGGGCGCCGCGAAGCGCAGCTGCAGCAGCTGCTGCTGCTGCGGCGTCATCGCCGTCGTCGCCGTCGCTGTCATTGCCATTGCCATTCGCGTCCGTTGGAAGGTCGTTAGTTCCCGTCAAGCCTCGTACAGGACCCACAGGAACATCACCGCCATCCGCGACTGCACGGAAGGGTACGGCACTGCCGCCGCCGTCGCCACCATCGCCGGCCGTCATGCTTTCCTTCTTTAGTAACGCTCGCCACACCAGTTTTGAGACGGCTTCCTCCAGAGCGGTCCGGTTCGTGGGGCCGCTCCCGTATGCAGCGCCCGCGGCACCTGGTGAGCCACCGGCGGCGGCGGCGGCGGAGGCGGAGGCCTTCCCAACGGACGGCATCTTCTCATGCAGCTCATGCAGCTGACGGAGCACCCCCTGTAGCCTCAGCAAATCAGCCTCCGTCACGTTTCCTAGTACGGCGGCGTTCACGGCTCCGGAGCCACCGCCGGCTTCATTACTCACATTGCCGTACTCCTCGCCGTCCGCCCCCGGCCCCGCCACATTAACTGTCACCTCGTCCGTGCCTTCAGTAGGCCCCGCGATGACGTCGTCGTCGCCGCCACCGCCGCCAACACCGCCGCCGCCGCCACCGCCATGTACGATAACGGTGTTGGCCGCGGAGGTTAGGATGGTGACGAGCCAGCCGGCCCAACTGCCGATGTACTGACCAAGTTGCTGTGGATTACTGAAACCCATGGAGTTCAGTGCCCCGCTGGTCATGTTGCTCATGTCACTGATGACCTGATCTCCTATCTGTTTTGCCACAATTTTGGCAACTTGTTTTTCTGCACATTATCGAGATGGGAAGTTGGGAGTGGTCATGGGTTTGTCCCCGCTGGCTGGCTGGATGGGTGGATGTGCCCCAGTTCATCATCTTTGTTCTGGATTTCAGTAACTGGTGTGAGATATGATATGGCGATGTGCGGTGAGAAGGGAAGGAAGCGGATTTACCCACGGTATGTTATGTATCGCACAAAGTTCGGGAAATGCGGTATTAGCAGAGGGACCAAGTGTAACTTATACTTCACGGCACATTCTTAACATTCTTGTCGCTTGGATTAGTGCTCATGTGCGCTAGCTGGGTCGTCAGTCTCACAGGCGCGGCGGCGACAACAAGAAATAGTTGCAGGCAGGAGTGATATAGATAATCAGGAGATCATCGGCCGGTTTCGGCCTAAATAAGTTGGGATGCAGTATTTGTTATTCAATACTTTGAGGCTCGCTATAGCAAAGCAAGGATCCATTCAGCTTGTTGTTGTGGTTCATGCATCCAGCAGATCGAAGTCTGGCGCACCGATGCCCTGGGTGCTGTTGTGGATCTCGTCCTTGATGGTTTCGTGGATCATGGATATCAGTGGCCCTTTCGGAAAGTCGGCGAGCAGGCTGCGACGCTCCCCTGCTTCCACCACCGAGACGACATTAGCATTCTCCTGCGGCTGCGCATCCGCGGGCCCTGCTCACGAGAGATGAAAAAGCAAATTTTAAAGATGGACTTGTACTGTATTTGTGGCAATGAATTTGAGAAGCTTTTAAGAGATTGCAATCTGGAGAGCAAGCTTATCGTGTGCTTAGTAAGAAGCAAGAGCGAAGTAAGGCTCTTCGACTATTAGTACGCCCTCTTTAGGGTGAAATTGCATATGCGATATGAAAGACATAGAGACGCTCGCAGCAAATTGCGTGTGTGTTGATTAAATGTCGGTTCAGATGTTAAAGATGCCTCCACCGCGGCTCACCTGCTGCTGCGACCAAATGCGCGAAGAGGACACTGGAAAAGAGCAGCGTGCGAAGGCGTCCTGATTTTAGCGCAGGGATCGCAGGGCTCATTCTATTCGAGTGAAACCTCTCATAGCATCAGCGCTGTTCCTTCCCTGCGCGACGTATGTACGTGCTCTATATCCTTAAAAAAAATTGCTGGGGGATATGCTACGGTGGTATGTATGTTGCCGATTGTATCCAAGAAACGGTTTTGCCGCTGGCGACTGTGGACCAGCAACCAGGCTTGACTGGCCTTAGCACTGAGAGCTCTATTTCTATATCCGTGCGTGCGTAGCAATAATTTTTTTAAACTAACAACGCACGTGCTGAAAAATTTAAAGTTAAGGCATATAGTTAGTATAGAAAGTCATATGATTCCATTCAGACCTGCTGACCAGCAGCCGGTAGCCTGACTGACTTGATCGCTGTTTCTGGACAGCGGTCTCACACCCTGCCGGAAAGTGAAGGGCGAGAAATTAACTTAGAGGTCAGATCAGAAGGATCACCTCCATCATCCATGCTATCAAACGTGAGTCCTATCTATCTACCTATCTATCGGGTATGTGCGAGTCGTCGTCCGTCGTCTTAGGGTTCATCAGCCCTTGTCCTCGTCCTGCACGTGATGAGCACCAGCCGGTCCTGCGGCCGCGAACGCGCATCGCATAGCGCATGTGACAACTGATGAAAACCGCATATCATCGTCTAAATAACATGTACGGCAATACAGTAACACAGGTCTATAAAACGTTGAGCTCTACGCAATGAAACTTTACATTTCGTACTAGTGCCCAGGTGGAAGCAAGAGCCTTACGTTGCCTGTTTAGTACTGAATCGAATACATTCATGTATCTACATTCATTAGAAGTTAACAGCAGAGTTAGGGAGGTACGCGCGTATTGTTTTTCACCGCACGGGGCCAGAATGCGGGTAATAAGAGCGAGATTGCGGGTATTCTCGTCCGAATCGGGCCGCCAGCAAAAGCAACAGTGGTCATGGTGATGGCTGGTTGTAGCACGGCGGATGCGCCTGCTGCTACTGCTGCTGCTGCTGCTACTGAGGGCTATTCTGCGGCTATGCTACAGCGGATGAGGGCTTTCATATCAGATGTCACAGGCGACTATCTGAAAAAAATATATAATTATATTTTGTAAAAAAAGTCAGAGCAAATTGTTATTATACATTTTTTGAAATCTAGAATGGAATAAAGCGGGGCTAGCGCAACTAACAAGCAGTTGAATGGCTCGTCCATTTCGACCGTTACATAGCGGAAGTAACCACCAAAGTATTTGGGATCTATCGCGAGTCCCCTCCTGCTGTCGCTTCTCTACTTGCTGGGCGACGAAAACTCATCAAGCGACCTCGATTCCCCATCCGTACGACATCCGTACGACATACAGCAACAACAAGAACAAGTTCCGTCCTCTGCCGTCCTTCTCAACTTGAAACGGAACTAAAAGGTTACGCAGGGAAGCAGCAGCAGCAGATACATAAATACTAATTTCACTGGAGTCCTCGCCCTAACCACTTATTAGGATCATGTCACATGTATGCAAAATGCATTTGTGCGTCCTCATCAAGTGAACAGAAAAAAGTTGTTGAACACAAAAAGGGAAAAACTCAGTCGGATTGAAACCACGTGCTGCTGCTGCTGCTGCTGCTGCTGCGCGCCCGCAAGCGGCAAGGGAAGGCTAGGAGCAAGGGGGAGGGGAGGAAAGGAAAGAGGAAACCCCGACAACTCCCTAAGTCCCGCTCAAAACGGAAAACCTCACTCATCATCACACGTCGACATCTGAACGAAAGAACACTGCCGCCTCCACATATACTACACACACACACACGACTACAAGACGCTGCATCCAGTTCCCTGATCGTCTCAAATTTCATCATGTCATGATGATGATATGTTAATGCACGGTAAGCTACTACTCGCGTTCCTGTCCCCCAGCCACACAACCCCCCAAATCCCCCCCAAATCCCCCCCACACACTCACACACACACTCACACACACTCACACCACACACACACACACTCACACTCACACGCACGCCTAGTGAGGTAATGTTGCAGTACTGCCAGTTACGGGGTAGTGGGGAGTACGGAGCATAAGTGAAATAACTAATACCTAATTACTAACTAATAATATAAGTAACTAACACCAAATTACCCGTCTATTTAGGCACCTAAATAGACGGGTAATTAGGTATTAATTAGGTAGGTAGGTAGGTAGGTAGGTGGATCTGTACGTCATACTCCCGCGTGATGACAATGACGAGGAGGACAATATGCCTCCCCCTTCCCCCACAGTACGGACAGTTCAAATCGGACAGGACAAACCCGTCTCAGCATATAGCGAGGCGCCGACTCAGTCCCCTGGGTGCCGGCACCCTCTCTCCGCAAAACAAATCCTGATACTCATATCCCCCTCAGGTTACCCGGACAAACAGGATGTGTGCCTGGGTATCCTCTGCGGCCTCGCTTCCCCCTCCGTCCCTCTCTCTCCTTACATCTCCCCCCCCAACGCACATACATACATACATACATACATACATACATACATACACACGTTCTTCCGCCAAAAGCCGTCTCCCAACATGCCCCTCCCCCCTTTCCCCCCATCACCTCCCATTTCCCCCCCGCCCTCCGCGAGGAGGGAAAAAACAACCCAGACGGCCATGTACGACGCTGCAAGAGGACTGCTACAGCCCAAGAACTGCAGCTGCTGTAGCTGCCCACATCGGTGGTGTTAGTGGTTTCAGGCATCCACCATGGGCCTCTGGTTATAGCTGAAGAAGCGCTGGTGCTCGCGGTTTAGGGGCGGGTTACCTTCCAAGTCCTGACAACCCTGGGGTCGGGGAGGGG